TATATTCTACAGGTGACCACTGTTAAGTTCACATATGCTTCTATATTATTAAATGAAAACTTTAATGACTTATACTTGCATCTTTAACTTATTTGTGTTTGGAAGTATCCAGGGAAATATCCTTTCCAAAGACTTAGTTGTAAATTCCTTTAGAATTTGAAACTATTTGGCAACTAATGATAATTTTTAAACATTTTTTAAATGTTGATTGAATACATCATTTTTATTAATGTCAAATTTTATTAAAGTCAAAATTGAACATAACATCCTGAAAGACTAATTTATGGAAACCATTATGAGACTAATCAGAAAAAAAGTATTAAATATCAGACTTTCATTTTCTAGGATCATACCCCATAAACACAGCTTCATAATATGAAGTGTTGTCATCAATATTCTCTATTGACATTTCTGACTTTGACTTATGCATTATGTCTTTTCAGGGGATGATCATGAATTTTCACTGCACTGGACTGTGGAAAATAGAAATAATGTCACTGTGTTTATTCTCTTGGGACTATCTCAAAACAAGAACATTGAAATCCTCTGCTTTACTTTATTTTTATTTTGCTACATTGCTATTTGGATAGGAAACTTGCTCATAATGATTTCTATCACATGCAGTCAGCTAATTGAGCAACCCATGTATTTCTTCCTTAATTATCTCTCAATCTCTGACCTTTGCTATACGTCAACAGTGACACCCAAACTAATGATTGATCTACTGGCAGAAAGGAAGACCATTTCTTATAATCACTGCATGACACAGCTTTTTATTCTTCACTTCCTTGGAGGCATTGAGATCTTCATCCTCACAGGGATGGCCTATGACCGCTACATGGCCATCTGCAAGCCCCTGCACTACACGGTCATCATGAGCAGGCAGAGGTGCAACACAATCATCCTGGCCTGTTGTACTGGAGGACTCATACACTCTGCCAGTCAGTTTCTGCTCACCATCTTTTTGCCCTTCTGTGGCCCCAATGAGATAGACCACTATTTCTGTGATGTGTATCCTTTACTGAAATTGGCTTGCACTGATACATACAGAATTGGTCTCTTGGTAATTGTTAATTCAGGTCTGATTGCTTTGGTGACTTTTGTGGTTCTGATGGTGTCTTACTTTCTGATACTGTACACCATCAGGTCCCACCCTGTGGGGAGCCGCACCAAAGCTCTTTCCACCTGCAGCTCCCACGTCACGGTTGTGGTTCTCTTCTTTCTGCCTGTTCTCTTCACTTACATCAGACCAGCCACCACTTTTCCAGAAGATAAAGTGTTGGCTCTTTTCTACACCATCATTGCTCCCATGCTCAACCCTCTGATCTACACACTCAGGAACATGGAGATGAAGAAAACCATGAAGAAAATGTATCATCAGTTGTTTTTGGAAGGGAAGTAACTTATATAAAAAGCATTTCAGAATTTCACTTTAGGGTTCAACCCTGAGCCCTGGAGGGAGTCACTATGAAATGGTATATGAAGAGTCTACAGTGGTGTAAAGGGCAGATACAGGTTGAAGCTCAGAATCTT